AGGGGCCGGCGGGGTCCGGGGGGCGGCGGGGAGGGTTTGTATCAGGCTGACGCCTTGCAGGGATCCTTGGCTGGTGGCACAGCTCGTAGCTTTGCTCTGGGCAAGGCTGGCACCCCTGAGGGCACAGGCGATCCCCAGGGAGCCGTGGTGCCCCAGCCACAGGCAGAGAGGGATGCAGCCCGGGAGTAAGGCTCTGGAGGTGAAGAGGGGCTCCGTGTCCCTGCCCAGGGTCCCAGCTCAGGGCCGTCTCGGAATTAGAGCAGGCTGTAACCGGGTCACAAAATTAAAGGTGACTTTTCTGGGAAGTGCAGTTTCTTTGCTGCATCTCAGCCCTGAAAGGAACGTCGGTGTTGTGGGCACAGTGTCAATGGATGTATCGCCAAATCAGATTTTCAACAGCAAAATACAAAAGCTGGGAAGTATCAGGTTTTGAGACTTCTATATCACCTAGGTGTGCTTTTTCACTTGAGATGCACTATCCTTGCAAAACTTCAGTGAAAATACTGAATAGCTGTGGATACCATACCTGCTGCTGAGACATCTCCTGGAAGAGGGTTTCATATAAGCCCCACATTTTCCACAAAACAGTGTAATATTTGATAATTTCCTTCAGTGGTGGGCATGAACAGCAGTTTGTCTCAAAGCTACGCATGGCTAAGTTTATCAGATGCTCACAATAGTGTGTTCATCCGGTCTTCAGCTACACCGAATGTTTGCCAATTAACTGGCCTCATTAATTTGTAACTGTGAAACAAAACAGAATTCAGGGGAAGAGATACTAGAGGCAAAGTGCTAGCCCTGATGGACATTCAATGTTCATCAACATTTCGCTATGCAAACCAACACAACCAAAGGGACTCTCAAAGTTTTGTGATATCAGTGTAATTCTGTAAGTCTAATCCTCAGCTAGGACAAAACAGTTCTCATGCCAATTTGCTCTGGGATTGGGACTCAGGATTGCTCAGGTGGTTCACAGGATCTTGTCCAAAAGTGCGTAAGCAGATCAGTATGACAGTTTGTTTAAAGGAAAAAGAGAGGGATTTCCCACTGTGCTGATACTTTTGAAGCCTGCTCCTTTACTCTGTTGCTGTACTCTTTGCCATTTTGATTCTGTGGAAACCAATATATTCCACCATGCCAATAAACCTGGATAAATATAATACTGAATTAATCATTAGAGTCCAATTTTTATTCATACAAAGAGCCTTTTTACTCAGGAAAATTGATGAGCGTAATTGTAGTAGAATAATTTATATTGGTATGGCTTTGCTGTTGTAACATTCCAGGTAGATGTTTTAATTGGATGTAATTATTCCATTTCCCTGTACAGATGAGTCCTATATAGATAAATCCCCTTTTATAGTTAACAGTCGAAGCAAATTGCATCTCATAATTACATTTACACCAAGTTTAAGACACTCTTAGGATGGGCAGGAAATACAATGGGGCCATAGTGTAATTGAGAGTGCAACCCTTAAAATCCTATTTGTGACAACTATAATCAAATTGTCGTCTGCTATAATATTTTCATTTCTTCTCATTCCAAAACAACAAGAGGCATTAAGTCTGTTTAAAACAAAATGTTTTGAAGGTCTAGCACCAAAATACGTACATCAATTCATGCAGGCTAAGGAAGCAAATGCAGTTTGTCATATTTAAACAGAACTGTGCCCAGTCTGTAGGTAACATCTTCCAGTGCCAGATTCAGCACTGTTGTAATCAGGCATCCTGGGGACTCTGTGATACAAAAGGAAATCTGACTTCATGATATCAAGGCTAAATTTGGCTCCCCAATGCTTAGAACACTCCTGAAGGCATGATGCTCCAAACAATTAATCTTGCATAATGTTGAATAAATGCGTATAGGACACACTGGCTCAGTTCTTGTAAATCCATTGTTACTGGCATATTTTTTCCATAAAAAGATGGTTTTCCACAGTTGGCAGCAGTCCTGGTCAAAAGCATCTTTTGAGCTGTAGAAATACAGAAGACTACAGTTTATTTCCAGTCCATATCTTTGTCTCTCTCTGGCCATTGTCCACCCACCTGCCCTTCCCTTCCCTTCCCTCCCCCCCCCCCCCC